ACCTGAAATTTTTCGGCTGATCATAAAATATATGTGTTTATTTTGACTTAATTTATGTGGTTAAATATTGGTTGCTATTTTCGGCTTGATTGATACCACTTTGATATACATACTACGTGCTCCATAATTTAATTAAACCCACACATGTATAGAAGAACCATGTGTAGCATACCTTCAGGCGCAGTCGACATTTTTATTATATCGTAGAGGAAGTGATTGCTACTTGTTTGCATTTCTTGTTTATATTTTTATGTTCGTCGAAAGCACGAAGCAAAGCAAGGATATAACAAAACAATGATTTCCAATTCATTGATTGACAGTAATGAAAAACAGCAAAGAATAATCGCAATAAAATACTTGAATGTCGGTGAGTGCAAGAGTATGAGTGTGAGATGTGTTTTGGTGTGTAAATCGAAAAGGAAACAACAAATAAGAGAGGATTTTTGGGTTTGTGTGGAGCTTAAGATGTTCATCGTCTTCAATCAGAAAGAACGACAATATCGTGAATCTTTGAAGTGTTGATAGTACTCGCTGATTATAAAACCGCTTATTTCGGTTCAGCAGTACCGAATATGTAGACAGTACAAACATTCGTGAAATAAAAGAGTCATTTGGATCTGGAATATAAGAAAATATACTATATATTTTTAATCTCTCTAGCCTTTACTAGGCTAAAATGCTTTCGCAGATTTGGACCAAAAAAGCTTCACCAGAGGTGATTAAACTATGTTGAAGAAGATAAGGCGGTACCTAATGCGCACTTACTCAGATAAAGCCTTATGATTTTCTACATTCCTCGAGATAAACCAAGTACACACTCTTAAAATTTTCCTTAAATTAAGCTCTGAATTTCATTAGATTTCAAATCAGCAGGAAAGAAAAGAATAAATTCTTCTTAAAGGATTACTAACTTTGTTTAAAGAAGTTTTATTAAGCTTGAATCTTTGGATATGAGGTACAGCCATATAGATACTTAAGCAAATAACCCACTTTCATATCGACATAGACCAGCCAAAGGAAATGACCCAATCTGAGTTATAAGAAAGCAAACTGTTTAGTCAAAAGCCTTAATTTATTGTGAACTTTTTGGGTTTATAAGGCTACCTACTGAGATACTCTAGCTATAGTTTTCTCGGAATATACCGAGCCGGTGAATTAAGGCGCCGGAATACTGCGTTCGGCTAAACTCCAGAGGTTCGAAATCTACCACTTAGGACTGCCTTAGGGCCCATAGATGGGTGCAAGTATTGCTCACTAATATTAATATATATACCATTGACTCACCACATACTCGAGCTTAAAGCTTTAAAAATGGCAAGCTTTTCCGAGTATCAAATTCACACTCATCTGAGTGGCTATGATCATTTTTAGGTAGTGATTACTCTACTGCCAATCATATAGTACTATATCATATGCTTACATATGTATATTGAAGCCCGGCACTAAAATTTTTGGATTGCAGAAGCGCCTGAGTAAATTTCCATGATTTTTGCTATGAGCAACAAATATAACACATGCACAGCTCCTGCTATGTGGCACTCAAGTCAAAACACAAATCAAATCAATGTCGTTGCGATATTTATTTTTATTTTCGTATTTTCACATTTATTTTTTTTGTTTTATAACTGTGCATAGGTTAGCAAGCGGGCTAAAGCAATTAAGGAAGCCAAATCGTGTATGTAATAAATGTAGAAACACGGCGAATGTAAAAGCAATAAATAAAACATGTTGAAGTATGAAATATACACATCATACCACATATAATTTTGTAATTATAAGCTATAGCGCAATATATATTAATCGATTACGATATGTATGGCCTTTTGTCTTTCCCTATGAGATTTAACAGGCAAAAAACTTCAACAGGTTTTCAGGGCAATACTAGAGAGTAGTAGTAGTAGTAACTAAGGCAATATCTTCAGCTAAACAAGCACACAGTACAGCGCGGAATAAAAAATATCCACAAATATGGATGTAGTTCTATAGAACATAGAAAATCCAAAATAAATGTCTATGGCTAAGGTTTTAGCAAGAGTCATAAAGGTATCAAATTTTTAAACAACTTACTATAGTGCTAAAGTATCTTGAAAACTGAAAATCAAGGATGTTTTCAAAGCAACTCTCTTTAATACACTTCTCTATGTCTACTCAAGTCTAAAGCTATTCTCAAAAAAATATGTTATAGAGAAACGCAGACAGATTATTAAAGCACAGTACTTCCTAAGTTATCACATGTAATATTTCCTAAAACTGTTAATATGAGAAACTAGAAGTACTTCGAGTTTTGGACTGACCAGATATGATTATAATTTCTTCGGACGAAATAAGTATACCGACTAGCATCTTATAACAACAACTAATAAATATGCCTTGAAGCGTAAGTATACGAGCTAATCAATAAGCTGGAACCTTAGCTTTCAACTGCATGAATCTCAAATAACTCGAAAACTTTTTTCCGAAAAAACCTGTGTTATGTTAAGGTTTTTCCAAAAGTCAAATCATTGAGAGAAGTATTAAAGTTCGAACTTTCTCTATTTAAGAACGATGCTACTTTAAATAGTGAATAAAAAAGGGAGAAAAGAACGGGCGGCCTTAATACTTAGGATCCAAAGCCTCGACTTCGCATGAGACGGCACTTAGGATTTTGAACTGATTTCGGAGAGTAGAGATGTGAAAAAAATAGCAGTGGAACTCTTGCGACTACTGCCACTTCGTTTTATCTTTCGCCATATATTTTTTTAGGTTCTATAACCTCTCAAATTTGTGCATGAATTACAGATTCATATCCTACCAAAAAATGGACACAAACTCTTGTTCAGTCTACGAAATTTTTTGCAGCTTTCACACCTTTCCACATTTGTAAATGTATCGATTCGTAGTAAACTTTAGGTTCATGCCAATATTTTCGCACTTGAGGCGGAAGAAACTAGAAGAATACTTTTCAAAGTTTAATGATACTCTAGATGCCTCTTTTTTAATAAATCTAATATAATCGCCTAAAAAGTGGTTGAATCATTGCTGGAAAGAAATTGTTGCTATAATATTTGAATCCGTAGCACTTCAAGTAGCCATCGTCCACATAATCCACTTAACGACCCAAAAAATATCTGCGCTCTCTAATTGCCTACTGGGAATTTTGCTATGCCACACAAGTATTTGTGTAATCGAATATTTATTGAATCATTCGGAATTCCACAAAACTAAGCGGGCAGACCGAAATTGAACTTGGCGTTGATGTTTGTTGATTTGCAAATTCTGTTTTTTTGCTACTTTTTCTCTTTTATTCCACGAACATGTGTGCTATAGACATATTTACAGCTAAAGCATACTTAGAGTTGCATAGTCCGTTGGCATATACGGAGAGTTTGCTCTAAAGCGTGGATGTCGACATATTTGTATATGCCTTGAGTGGTTTTTTGTGACCACGACTTGTATGTGACTGCTGTTTAAGTCACATATAACGGCATGTTGAACAATTTAAACTTTTTGATGGCTAACATTTTTTTCGCTGTTATTTAGTTTTTAACCTGCTTTTTGTGGTTATTTTTTTTATTATCTTTTTTGTTTCATTTTTCTATATTTTTGTCGAAGTATTTCTTTTATTTTCTCTTTATTTAAATATTATCTGCCTTATATAAAGGTTCTTTGTTCTTTTTTTGGTACTCGAAATACCAAGATAACCAAGAATGTATATTAGAACCTTCCAACCCTTTATATTATATTTACCCTAGCATCCACAAACGTATTTTTGTTCGAAACACCAACTAACATCACACTATACTAATAAACTTTAAATCTTTAAATTTCCCCAAAGAGCCATTCAGCCATTACTGTTTCCCTCAGCAGTTACCGCATTGAGTTTTCAGTGTTGAGGCCCTTGTGATTTTTCTATCAGAGATTTTCTCTTTTAAAGACTCTAGAAATCTCTCACAACTCATAAATATATATTTTTACTCGTAGAGTTAATCTTTTACTTCTCCGTTGTCTAATTAGTCAAACTTTTACTTTTATTGAGGTATGGTCTGACGTCTATCTATACACTGATACACTGCTGTTTCTCAGATAAAATCCCAGTAGGTAACCGATCTAACTACATAAGATAAAAATCAACACATGAGGCCAAAAGGATTGAAAACAAACGGTTTTCTGTTCTCTCCTGCCTTCTTATCCACGAAACTGTCAATCTCACTGCTTTATACTGCTTAGCTAGACAATATTTCTCTTCAACTTCAAAGTTCCTTTGACACCAACGGGTAAGGAGGGTAAAGATTTATTTGTACTAATATTTACGATTGTAAGCATTTCCTCAACAAAACCTTGTACGGTGGAAACCGTTGAACAGCTGTTTCTAAAATAGCTAGGAAATCCACTTAGCACTTAGAGATCTCCTGATGTTGTTGTTGCAGCGTTGTAACAACTTGAATATTTTCCGAATTTTTTCGAATATTCTTCTCAGATTTAATCTGGTTACGGTAGCGTAGTTCTGCCTATTGTGAAGCTGACTTTGGGAACGGATACAACTAGTCCACAGGACCTAATTAAATTCTGTTTTTTGTCAAGAATAAGCTTCTTATCAGATCCATCTGCCATGTGGAAGTGGAGATTGTGAACATACTTTGAAATCATCAGAATTCACCTATTATAATTTTCATTCTCTACTGATTTACAGATTACTACGAGAGCTTATTCCAATCTTTAGAAACTGGATTGGAGATTTTGGGTTCACAGACGTCCTTCGAAATTACGACTGTAAAGCGATGTCTTGTGTAAAGTAAAAGACTCGAGATGGATTATAAGAGACGAATATCCATCGATTGGTACTTTGTAAAAGGGAGGTCAATAGATAATTCAAAAGGGCTTACGAATGAGTACATGTATGAGTGCATGATCTTTTGATTAAACGACTGAGTATCCTATTTGGATAGTCAAATCTTTAGCATAAATTGAATATTCTCAATTATTTTAGTCAATCACCGACTTTTGCTCTCTTCCCCTTTCAGGTGTGCGCCATTCAACACGTCGACGTATGCATGTTTAACAATGGCAAATTCAAAAATATTGTCGCTGACTCAGACAGTACGCCCGTGGATCACACAGTAGCACCCGGCAGCACATTAAACACCACAGTCATACTAAAGCCACAACGTGGTCAAACGAAAAACTGGATTGCGCTCGAAGACACATTGCAGCGCAATACGGAGCCCGAAGAGATCACCGGCAGCATTGCTGCCTCAGCGGTACGGTCACCAAATCTTATACTTGCGCCCGGGCAGTCNTAAATAAAGACATGTTGAAGTATGAATATATACACCATACACACATAAATATATATTTTTATTTATACAGCTATAGCGCGATATATACTTATATTGCGATGTATCGATATGTATGGCCTTTTGTCTATTCCCTATGGAGAATATTTAACAGGCTAAAACTTCAACAGATTATTTGTGAGCTATACTAAGAGTAGTAGTAGTAGTAGACTAAGGCAATACTTCTCAGCTAAAGCTAAGCACACAGTACAGCGCGGAATAATAATTATATCCACAAATTATGGATGAAAGTAGTTCTTATAGAAACATAGAAAATCAGAAATAAATGTCTATGGCTAAGGTTTTTAGCAAGAGCATAAAAGGTATCTCAAATTTTTTTAAAGCAAAGCTTAGCTATTAGTTGCTTAAAGTATCTTGAAAAACTGAAAATCAAGGAGTTTTTTCAAAGCAACTCTCTTTTAATTTAAAGCTAATCAAATAGTTAAACACTGGGTAAAACTTTTTGCTACTATTGATGTAAACGGTTAAATAAAACCTTGGTGTTTAAAGTAATCTATGAATTCATACCTTACATACACTTCTCTATGTACTCAGTCTAAGCTATTCTCAAAAAATATGTATAGAGAAACGCACAGATTATTTAAAGCAAGTACTTTTCTTAAGTTATCACATTGTTAATATTTTCCTAAATGACTGTTCAATATTGAGAAACTAGAAGTACTCGAGTCTTTGGACTGAACATAGGAATATAAGTTTTCTTCGGACGAATATAATAGTACCGACTAGCATCATTATAATCAAATAGTAATAAATATGCCGTGAAGCGTTAAGTATCTATGCTAGCTCAAAAGTCTAAACTTAGCTTTAATCTGCATTGAATCTCAAGAACTTCAAATTTTTTTTCTCGAAAAACTGTATTTAGTTAACATTTTTTCCAAAAGTAAATCATTGTAGGGAAGTGTTATGAGTTCGAACTTTCCCTAAATTTAGAACTGATGCTGCTTTAAATAGTGATAATAAAAGGCAGAAAATAATCAGCTGTAATACCCAGGAAATCCAAGCCTCGACTTCGCATGAGACGGCACTTAGGATTTTGAACTGATTTCGGAGAGTAGAGATGTGAAAAAAATAGCAGTGGAACTCTTGCGACTACTGCCACTTCGTTTTATCTTTCGCCATATATTTTTTTAGGTTCTATAACCTCTCAAATTTGTGCATGAATTACAGATTCATATCCTACCAAAAAATGGACACAAACTCTTGTTCAGTCTACGAAATTTTTTGCAGCTTTCACACCTTTCCACATTTGTAAATGTATCGATTCGTAGTAAACTTTAGGTTCATGCCAATATTTTCGCACTTGAGGCGGAAGAAACTAGAAGAATACTTTTCAAAGTTTAATGATACTCTAGATGCCTCTTTTTTAATAAATCTAATATAATCGCCTAAAAAGTGGTTGAATCATTGCTGGAAAGAAATTGTTGCTATAATATTTGAATCCGTAGCACTTCAAGTAGCCATCGTCCACATAATCCACTTAACGACC